TGAGGACATTTGACTCAACCTAACCCTGACCGGCGAGTGCGGGGAGTGGTGGTAGCAGGCAGTGCTTACTGCCCCACTGCTTTCCATCCGTGTCCTTGCTGTTCTCATCACAGGACCTGACATCACAGAGCAGGAGCGCAGCATCCTGCTGGGAGGTTTGCTGGAGGTACCTAGCAGGTTGTCTTGCAGGCAAATACCATAGCTACCAGCCAGAATTGTTTTTTGAAAAACAATGAGTTTTCTAGGAGACTATAAGGAAAGTTAAGCAATTAACACTAAGCAATGTTCTCTTCCACCTGCATTTTTCTGGGCTGAGACTCTTTAGTTGAATAATGTAACATCCATATCTATATATATAAAAGCCTAAGTGGCTGTCCGATCAGTAGCTATGACACACAATGACCACCAGGATGGCAAACGCTCATTGCAGGAGCTGCCAAGCTGCAGTGACTTGGCAGCAGTGGTTCTCGGGTGATGCACACAGAACCAGAAAGGAGGGAGCCCAATTCTGGGATTCGTCACCCGAGAACCTCCCTCTCTCGAAATCCAGGACCCCTCAGAGGATGTCAGAGAGCCGGCTTCAGCCAGGTTTCAGCTCGATCCATGTAGGCCAGGCCGAGGGACCCCACGAATCTGTGCACTGGGCCTCTAGTATACACGTAGTTTTCCATCACTAAAATTGTCTTTTACATTGATTTTGTTTTAATGAGATAGCTTGAGGAATTCTGAGATTATAACCCATGATGAGAGGGTACAGCAGATAGGAATGTTTTTTAATCCTTACCCGAGGATATGTTCATTGATTTGAGAGAGAGAGGAAAGGGGAAAGAGAGAGAGAGAGAGAGAGAGAAACACAGATCAGTTGCTCCCCATATGCTCCCCAACCAGGAATCAAACCTGCAAGCTTTTTGGTGTACAGGATGATGCTCCAACCAATTGAGACCCCTGGTCAGGGCCAGATGATATTTAATTACCCTTCACCCCTGGGATTAGGCATGTTGAGAAGACAATAGGATGTCACCCAGAACTTGGACATTTCAAGAACATTATGAACCTGACTTAGGATTGAAGTATATCTCGTGGTCCAACTCCAAGATGGGCAGAGTGTGTAGAAATAAATATTCCCCTTTGTCATTGTGATTATTGTACCCTCTGATGCTGAGGTTGAAGAAGTAATACAAAAAGTCATCCGTACCCTTTAATTCTGCTGGTCAAAACTATTTCTATTTTTTCCCTTCCTTTTTTTAAAAATATGTTTTTATTGATTTCAGAGAGGAAAGGAGAAGGAGAGATAGAAACATCAGTGATGAGAGGGAATCATTGATCAGTTGCCTCCTGCATGCCCCACACTGGGGATTGAGCCCACAACCTGGGCATGTGCCCTGACCAGGAATCGAACCATGACCTGCTGGTTCATAGGTCGACACTCAACCACTGAGCCATGCCAGCCAGGCTTTTCCCTTCTTTTAAAATGAAGATTTACTCTGACATAGAAATTGTGACTATTTTGTACCAAGTTTCCAACTGAAGCTACACCACACACACACACACACACTTGAGCTGGAACCTTTTTAATGACAAAGAAATAGGTTTTAATCCCAAAAGATTATGTCCTTTTTCCATCTGGCTGCCTCAGGCTAAGAGAAAAGTAAAAGAATCAAAAGCCATGGAGTTTCTTGCCTCAAAGAAATAGTAGACGCTTCATATAAATGAAGTCAAGCTTGAAACCACTAAGATCTTTACTTTATCCCTTCAATTAAATATATTGGCTATTTGTGTAACTCTGTTTCATATAAGTAGCAATTAAGGTGGCAAATTACATGGCTCTAATAAATGGAGACAGTGAGGGGTGCAATGGAAAGGACAAGGAACTGAATTCTGGTAACGATCTCGTCTGCATATCCTATATAATAAAAGACTAATATGCATATAAACCGAACGGTGTGATAGTCGAACAACCACCTAACCAGTCACTATGATGTGTTCTGACCCCGGGGGGTGGGGGGACACAGAACAGGGCAGGCATCAGCAGCAGGGGGCAGAGCATGGAACATGGTAGGCATCAGCTGTGGCAGGATGGTGGAGCAGGTGAGCAGAGTCCCAGACCAAGGCAGGGGCACTGGTCACTGTCATTGGGGCAAGCCTCTGGTGGTTACTGAAAATTCTTTGCTCCCACATCCTGCAGTCCCACCTGGTGCTTGCACCCGCTGCCAACACCGGAGCCACCACTCACACCCACTGCCGGCACCCAGTGCCAGCCCCGATAACTCATAACTATCAGCAGGTGCGAGTGGCGGCTGCCGGCCCCGATCACCCCTCCGGGCTTCTCCACCTCCCCCTGCTTCTGAGGGGACAATTGGGGCCAGCAGTCACCTCTCGCACCTGATACCGGAATGGCCCTGCTTGTACCCACTGCTGGCACCGGCCCCACTCACACCTGCAGCTGGAGCCTCTGTGAGCGGCAGCTGCTGGCCCCAATCACCCCTGAGGGCTTCTCCACCTCCCCCTGCTCCTGAGGGGCAATCAGGGCAGCCCCAATCACTCTGTGCCATCAGCGGATGTGAGTGGGACTGGCACTGTCAGCGTGTGGGAGCGGCAGTGGTGGGAGCAAGGCTTCCAGCAGACGGAACTGGGTCCACGGTGGGAGGGGCCGGGTGGGGACACGGAGGATGGGCCGAGACCCGCCCCTGTGCCCACCACAGACTCACGGCCCACAGTTCCTTTCAAGGAGCACGAGTTCATGAACTGGGCTCCTAGTTTATCATGATTGCCCATGAGAGCCCCTAAAGTCAGGCTGGTTGTGTTCAAAGCTGCCCCACCTACTGGTACATGTGTCAGACCTCACTTCACCTCACTGAGTCTTAGTTTCCTCACCTATTGTGTGTGGATAAAATAGTGTTTACTACAAAAAGGTTGGGAAGGATAAATGAGATAATCTGTGTGCAGTGTCTCATATAGTGTCTAGCATGTAGTAATTGCCCTATAAATGGTATCTGTGGTTAATATTCAACTCAACTCTGACCTTGGGCAAGTCCCGTAATTCTTTGACTCTTGGCTTTGCTATTTGTAAAACAAGGATATTTACCCTACCTGCTTCTGGATGGTATTGTTGTGAGGATCAAATGAGATTATGTCTTTTAAAAAACTTTTAAAAGTAAGTATTTAATAAACCAGTTGGGAAGTCAGAGCTGTACAGAGCATAACACTGTTGGAAAACATTAAGAGGCAATGTGTGTGTTGGCCTGTTAGGATTCATAGGCTCCAATAAGACAGCTGTGGATATTCAGGGAAAGGAAGGGGGTCTTGTGTCCTCATGTTGGGGGGCAGGCCATATAGAGTGGGAACCTTCAGGTGAGCCTTGAAGAAAAGACGGGATGTGGTTGGCTAACCTTTGCTGTGGGTCTCCTCTGTGGTTCCAGGCCGAGCTGATTGGAAGCCTCACCCACAAGCTTGAGACTCTGCAGGAAGCCAAGGGGAGCCTGCTCATGGACATCAAGCTCAATAACGCCTTGGGAGAAGAGGTGGAGGCTTTGATCAGTGAGCTCTGCAAGCCCAACGAGTTTGACAAGTACAAGATGTTCATTGGGGACCTGGACAAGGTGGTCAGCCTGCTGCTCTCCCTCTCGGGGCGCCTGGCCCGTGTGGAGAACGCCCTTAGCGGTCTTGGTGAAGATGCCAGTAAAGAAGAAAGGGTAGGTGGCCTAGCAGTTCCATTCAGCACGTTTTCCCTCCGAGCCCATGTACACAGAGAAGCACAGTAAGACCCTATCCCTTCTCTCAAGAAGATGACAGTCTACTTGGGGCAGGGAGGGAGTCCGAAGTATAGATAACCAGGAAACGGAGAAGGCACGTTCCCTGCCGAGTTGTAAAGCTGATCCTGCAGGCTTAGGGAACACTTAGGAGGGTGAAAACACAGGTGCCAGGGTTTCTTTCCTTCCTTTCTAATGGGGGTTGACCTTGGAAAAAGAGAGAGGGACAACAGAACTTTGGGAGATGAGGAGAGGGCATGGGAACATGGGCTTACGCCCCAGGGGATCTGCAGTTCACCTGGAGGCTGCAAGCCCTCGGGGAGGATGCACCCAAGTGTCTCCACCACACCCCTTCCTGGAAGGAAGAGGACAGGTGATGACAGTGGTGCTGATCCTGGGTCAACTTCTAGTGCTTCCTCGGTGCGGCACTGTGGGCTGACACTCTCTATGTGCAGGCTCAGAGAGTGAGTGGCAGAGCCAGGACAGGAGTCCTGCTGCAGACCCCAGGTTTTATTCACCTCATTGAACTTATTCCGTTGCCACAGAGCATTCTTCATCTACTCATCTGTGCAGCACATGTCTGCTGGGTGTCTAACATGTGCCACTGACTGCTCTGGGCACTTGGGATTATCTTGGAACAAAACAGACAGATCCCTGCTCTCAGGGAACTAACTTACCAAGGGAAGTCAGACAATAAACGTAGCTGTAATGTGTACACACGCACAAGCAAAGTGGTAAATGCTCCAGCCAGCAGGATGCTCCCTTGCTCTCTGGCTCCTCCTCCTATCTACAGCTCTCTCTGTCTTTTAATGCTATCAGGGATTTCCTAATTATTTCTGGAAGTGAGTGTGTGTGTGTGTGTGTGTGTGTGTGTGTGTATGTGTACACTTTTTTATTATTATTAAAAGGTATGATGTCTTTTTTCCAAGAGATTAGTAAAAGTCCAGATGGTAAGCATTTGGGACTGGGACTGCGTATCCAGAAACTTTCTGCAGCTCCACTCCAGTGGGTGCCCTCCTCCTGGAAGTGTGCTGAGCCTGAGCTGCCTCCGCTGGGGACTGTCTGATAGTGTCTGCCTCAGAAGGCTTTCCTTTCCTCCTTCCTCCCACTCAGCAAACAGTGAACGAGACCCTGTACTGTGTCAGGTGCTGTGTGTGCTAGGCATGAACACTGGCGACAACACGGGCCCCGCCCTGCAGGAACTCGCCAGGAGTGAGGAAAACCAGGATGGAAGCAGCAGATGGATCCAGTATGCTGCAGCACAGCAGTCAAGGCAGAGCCCAGAAACACTTCTCAGCGGGTGGGGTGAGGCGGGGAAAGACTTCACGCAAGTGATGCTTAATAGTATAGATACTGTGGTCGGCAAACCGCGGCTTTTTGGCCCCTTGAGTGTGGCTCTTCCACAAAATGCCACTTCGTGGCCCATGCGCAGAAGTCGGTATTTTGTGGAAGAGCCGGTATTTTGTGGAAGAGCCACACGGAAGGAGCCACAGAGTCACATGTGGCTCGCGAACCACAGTTTGCCGACCACTGGGAAGAATTTCGTATTTGTAAGCAGAGTAAGAATGGAAAGGCTTCATGATTTAGAAGGAATATCATAGATAGATCAAGTAAAGAAAGACCATGGCATCTTCAAAAACTGATTTACACATGGTTGTTATGTCTAGAACATAAAGTGATTACTTGGTTCATTTTTTAAAATAGTGGATTACTGAAAATAGAAAAGTATGTAGTCAGGGACTGGACATGAAGTAGATCTACAGGAAGTAGATCCCCAATTTTTTTTTATTTGATAGCTCTATTTAAAGGAGCATTCAGAACACCAAAGAAATCAAACAATTCAATTTTAAAAATGAGCAAAGGACCTGAATAGACATTTCTCCAAAGAGGACATACAGATAGCCAATAGACATATGAAAAGATGCTCAACCTCACTAATAATCAGAGGAATGCAAATCAAAACTACAATGAGATATAATCTCACACCTGTCAGATGGCTATCATCAATATGGCGAGGATGTGTAGAAAAGGGAAACTTTGTACATTTTTGTGGGATTGTAAATTGATGCAGCCACTATGGAAAGTAATACGTAGGTTCCTTAAATAAATTAAAAGTAGACCTACATATGACCCAGCCATTCCACTTCTGTGTCTTTATCCAAAGAAATCCAAAACAATTCAAAAGATATATGCACCTCTATCTTCATTGCAGTATTATTTACACAATCGCCAAGATAGAGAAACAACCTAAGAGTCCATCAAAAGACAACTGAATAAAGTAGATGTAGTACATATATACAATAGATGTTACTGTAGTCTAACATACAATAGCCATTAGAAGGAATACAATCTTGCCATCTGTGACAACATGGATGGACCTAGAGGGTATTGTGCCAAGTGAAATAAGAGAAAGACAAATACCACATGATTTTACTTAATATGAGGAATCTAATAAACAAATAACAAAAAAGAGGTATCATTGAAGGTATGGGAAGGATTAATGGCAACCAAGAAGAAAGAATGAAGCTCCCTGGCCCCTAGAGCCAGCATCAGAGGGAAAGCCATTACTACCTCTGGATCTGGAGGAGCGACAGGAAGGGGGTCCTCATCAAAGGTGTAGCTGAGCTGTCCTGCAGCACTGAGGCCTTGGGGAAAGAATGCAGCCACCACCACCTGGCAGAGACGGAGCCAGGGATATATACAAATACCCCCTTGCTTTCTCCTCCAGTCTCTCCCCATGACTCCTATTAGCCAAACCCAGAAGGCAAGGGAGCCCAGTTGATGCAGCCACAGAGCAGCCCTGAGGAGTGTGGGTCTGGAGGGGTAAGCAGTATCCAGTGCAGAAAATAGTTACACGGACCGTATGTGTCATGCTGTAGGCTTTGGACTCTTTAACCTATTGGCCAAGAAGAGCTATAAACTAATTTTATGACTTAATCAGCCTGGGAGGGGTGAGAATGATGCTTACAGTTGGGAGACTTATTGTAATAGTCTAGCAAGAAGGCTCCAGGCCATTAATTTGGGCAGTTGTAATGGGGTTAGAGACTGAGTTTGAATTAGCAGGTGTGTTACAAGAGAGGGCGGGTAGAACAGAAAGTAGTTTCCTGTTTGACAAGTTAGGTGGGTGCTGCAGATATCTGAGATAGGAATACTGGAGCAGATCTCGGGGAGAGAAGTTGTTCTACAATCGAATTCAACTCAACACAATGCACACATACACTCTCAAATACAAATAAGTGCTTGCTCACCAGCGAAATACTACATCAATATTAGTTTTTGTAATGATCAGTCTTTGCTAAGAAACTATAAAAATACCAATAGTAATGAGAAAAGGAGTCATATGTGTTTCACTAAGTGCCAAATTCAGGATAATAGTTGCCAAAGGGGAGGGAAGGAAAGATGGGACTGGGATAAGTATGTGTAAGGCTTCAACTGAACCTAACTTTTTAATTGGAAGCAAATATGAAAAGTGTTCATGGTGAGATTTGGCACTGTTAATGATGGGTACACAGGTACTACATCATTCTCTGTGAATTTCTGGTGTTTAAAATATTTCCTTTTTTTTAAGGTGAGGAGAGGTTTTCACTTTTTAACTTACATCTCTACAATATTTTGAAAGGTGCCTTCATTCAAAATCAGGGGAGGAGGGTTTTAGGTGTGTTTTTCTGATTAGGTGCAAGAAGCCTATGAAAATGGAGATATTTGTAAGACAAATCTATAATTTTGTACTTTTCCCCCTAGACATTATTATGTTAAGACAGGCTAGTTTGAGGAAAATTAGGACAAAGACACATAAGCGTTGCATCACCCTACATAAGCTAATTTGTATTGAGGTATATATTTAAATAATCTGTTTCTTAATTTTCATTTTAATGTTTCTCAATCACTTTGGCCTGAAAAGTCTGAATGGTTAATTATAAAATTTTTAGAAATGTTTATGACATTCATTGTATGTCAGCATGATGAGTAAAAATCAACACACACACACACATTAAAATGTTTCATAATGTACATTATCCCTAAAGATAGCATGTTACCTTACCATTCAGTTTGTATAAGAAACTCTCAGAATATCACAGACTTCTAGGCCCCACCCCCCAGTAGGTGAAATAGGGCCTGAAATCTGCATTTCTAACAGATTCCCAGGTTAGCTGCTGCTGGTCCACACTTGGAAAACCACTATCAATAGAAATATTTGATGTTTGGCCTTTTCAATTTTTTTATTGTTGTAAACTACACATAAAACTAGCCATCTTAGCCATTTTACAAGTACCCAATTCAGTAATATTTAATACATTCATATTGTTATGCATCCATTTCCAGAACTCTGTCATCTTGCAAAACAAACGCTGCTCGTTAAACCGTAATTCCCCATTTCCGCACCTCCTAGTCCCTGGCAGCCATCATTCTAGTTTTTGTCTCCACGATTTTGACTCTCCTAAGACCCTCATGTAAGTGAGATTATTGATTGTGCTTTTCAGTACCCAAGCCTAAAGTCGAGTCATTACCCCAGTCAGTTTAAGGTCATCTCCCTCAAAGCTGCCACGTGGCTTCACAAGTCAGAGAGCCAGGGGCACCCCATCGAAGGGTAATGAGCTGATTTTCAGAAACATAATCTCCTTAATTCAGAGTGATCATTGGAAGGGAAGCCGCACATTTGCAGTCCTGTGGAAGGTAGTCTTTGTGGGCAGTCTGGCTCTGCCCTCCGTCCCCTCGCCCTTAGCTCATCTGCTCGTTTTGCCCGGCAGAGCTCTCTCAACGAGAAGAGGAAGGTCCTGGCGGGGCAGCACGAGGATGCCCGGGAGCTCAAGGAGAACCTGGACCGGAGGGAGCGCGTGGTGCTGGACATCCTGGGCAATTACCTGTCGGAGGAACAACTCCAGGATTACCAGCATTTTGTGAAAATGAAGTCAACACTCCTCATTGAGCAGCGAAAGCTGGACGACAAGATCAAACTGGGCCAGGAGCAGGTCAAGTGCCTGCTGGAGAGCCTCCCCGTGGATTTCGTCCCCAAGGCGGGCACCCTGGCGCTGCCCCCGGACCTCACGAGTGAAATGACTCCCGTGGGGGGATGTATTCCCAGTGGTGTTTCCCCAACGGTCACCTCTCCACTCTAACCTCTTCTGAAACGCCCAACCGAAAGATCACCCTTTCTTTCATCACTATTTAATCTGAAAAATGTTGCAGTACAAACCACTGTTTAAACTCTATGGGTTTGGGGGGCGTTTTCTGGATAAAAGGAAAAGATTCTATCCAGGAAAAAGCCTGTATTTTCCTTCTCACCCTTCATGATTGATCTGAGAGCTTGAATGCTGCTGGGAACCTAGCCCTTTCTATTGTTACTTTGCAATAGAAAGAAAATTAATGAAACTGTGAGAACTGATGGGAGGGTGTTTGATGATTTAGTTTCCGACAGGCGTAGGCAGCAGGGATCAGTGTGTGTCGCCCTCAGGAATGTACCCACCGTGACCTGCCTTTGTGTGGGCCATGCATCCTGACGACAGGTACAAGGACTCATTAGTGAGGGTCTGCAACATAAAGCCTTAAAGAAAAACACACACAGCAGAAAATTGTAAAGCCTTGAACATTGTTATTTATATTTTTAAAAATGAAAAGGATCATTATGTCTGTTTGCTAACCACTTATTTGATTCTGTTTTGTGGTGGACGTAGACAATTATGTTGTTGGAGCTTTGTATTTTGTGAAAACCTTAATGAAATGAAGAATTCCAAAGACAGTCCCATGGAGTGTGGAGACTTGTTTTTTCTTAAACTCTTGACTTGTCTGCTTTATTTTTACAAATACGAGGGGACCTCCTGCGCTTGTGTTAAACCGAGTCCTGGGGAAGCCAGGTCCCACTGCTGCCCGTCCTCACCACTCTACTCCTGCCACAGGAGCACACACCTCCAGGAAGGCAGCTTCCAGCAGTAAGGTTACCGCACTTCCTAGTTTATCACTTCCTAGGGCTGCCTGTCATCACTGGTGGGGAGATAAAACCGTATTTTACTAATGAGGCCAGCCTGTATGACAGCGGAAGGTCAGCTACCAAGACAATTCAAAACAATTCACGCAGTCATGCACAGGATTTGGGCTCACCATAGCCTGTTTAGTGAGATAGATTATCAGGTTGTTTTAATGATGCTGTTTTTTAAAGTTTGGTCCATCTGAGTGAGGGACCAAGTACAACTCTGAAGTCTAATTCTTCGGTGGGTGTGGTATTTATTGTAACAGGGACTTGACCTCTGGGCTCTGATGAGAAGAAACCCCTAACTTAATTTTCACTGCTAACCTCTAAATGCCTTCAGCTAGAAAATAAGCCTATTCTTTCTCCCTTTCCTATTTGTATTCTTTCCCCATTATTTTTTTTTAAATCATCCACAGTGGAAGCCATCCTTTTTCCTCCCAACAATATCCTCTCAACCGAGATGATGAGCGGAGCAACCATGAGCAGGTTATCAGTCAAGATTTCAGGGCACACATGACATCAAGAATGTGTGTCCACAGTCAATAACTCTCCCTGTGAATGTGGTCATTTCAGAAATACCACGTCCCATCAGAAGTCAGGTGGGGGGGGCGGGGGGGATGGCCTTGCAATTATCCAAATGCTGAGACTAAAACCTGTGAAGTCCCAAGAAAGGACAATGTCCTGCAACAAAATCGGGAGGCCTCCCACCTGGGCCACTTGGGAAGTTCCTGGGCACCTTGCTGCATGTTGGGCGACTCGGCCTTTTCTCGGGCTGCTTTGTTCCTTGTGGCTACTTAACCCCAAAGAACGCAGAGAGGACCCAAAGTGTGCGTGTCTGAGTGCCTCCAAGAGATGCTGTCAGAACCAACACGTTTTCCTTTGTCCCAGGGGAACATTTTAGGTTTCATTTTGCACAACTGGTTTTCAGACTTGAAGATGAGCAAGTTTGGGTCAACCAACCCCTAAGAATCAGTGCCTTTCTGTCGACTTGAGGAGTGAGGGCCTGGGGGCTTAAACGGGGAGAAACCAGCCTGGGACACCCCACTGTCCCTAGTAGTCCATTGTCAATACCTGATCTAAAATCACTTCTGATTTTAAAAGTGAGGTCACATTTGTTCCTAATACAAGCTCTACCTTTAAGTTTGTATTTTATACAAACATCTTTTACTAAGATGTTGGGGGGCAGGTTGTGGGTTCCCTAAATGCCTAGGGAACTTTTCATATGTGGTTCCAAATTTATTTCTCTTTAGTTTAATTTTCCATGATATTGTTGATTTTATTCTGTTAGGTTGGAATTCTTTTTTTCATTGTTAGAACAGCATGAGTTTTATTCACCATACAATGGGCAAGAAAAAGTAAAAACTTCAGCCAGAAATAACCCCTCCATCTCCAGGAATGCATAAAGAGATCAGGACGGCCCTAACCGGTTTGGCTCACTT